ACATACTGCCGAAGAAACCTTGCAGGACGCCCCACCCGGTCACATTATACTGACAACGGGCGAACAAGTCGTGCCACTCCTAATTTGCTGAGCGTTAAGCAGGAGTATAAACTACCATTTTTAAAGACTTTGGTATGTCTCAGCCAGGGGACAGCACCCAAAGCCTTCCTCACAGGGGCGAACGCTCAACAAATGGCCAAAAGTGAGGCATTGTCAAGGGAGACATTAGGAAGAAGAAAGTTATTAAGAAAGGAGAGAAGAGATAAGGTCCCAAATTTAGTCGCCTCTTACGATCATGCAATTGGGGGCAGCAGGTACAATTCTTACGCCCTTCCTGCAGGGTCCGAATACCTTAGAGAGCAGACATTATATGTAAGGTATTATATACCAACCATATTATACAAAAGTCGTAAGTTAGAGTCAGTAGGTTCTAGACATTAAACACTAGACACTAATCCAGTAGACGCTAGTCATTTCACAACAGTCAATAGACTCTAGTCAGTAGAATCTAGTCAGTAAGCACTAGGTATGAAACAACTCAGAACACAAGTCAATAGACTCTAGTTATTAAATATTACTCAGTAAACACTAGTCATTATTCACTAGTCAGTAGACACGAGTCAGTATACACTAGTCAGTGGCTTTAGTCAGTAGACAATAGTCATAAGGCACTAGTCAGTAGACATAAGTCAGAAGGCACTAGCTAGTAGACATTAGTCAGTAGACATTATCATGGACAGACGTCAGTAGACATTAGTCAGTAGGCATAAGCCATTAGACATTAGTCAGTAGACACTAGTCAGTAGACAATAGTCATTAGACATAAGTCAGTAGACATAAGTCAATAGACAATAGTCAGTAGGCATTAGTCAGTAGACACTAGTCAATAGGCACTAGTCATTATACATTAGTCAGTAAGTATAAGTCAGTTGACACTAGTCAGTTGACACTAGTCAGTAGACATTAGTCAGTAGACACTAGTCAGTAGGCATTAGTCAGTAAGTATAAGTCGGTTGACACTAGTCAGTAGACATAAGTTAATAGACAATAGTCAGTAGGCATTAGTCAGTAGACACTAGTCAGTAAACACTAGTCAGTAGAAATAAGTCAGAAGACATAAGTTAATAGACAATAGTCAGTAGGCATTAGTCAGTAGACATTAGTCAGTAGACATAAGTGAGTAGACAAAAGTCAATAGACAATAGTCAATAGGCATTAGTCATTAGTCAGTAAGTATAAGTCAGTTGAAACTAGTCAGTAGAAATTAGTCAGTAGACACTAGTCAGTAGACATTAGTCAGTAGACACTAGTCAGTACTCATTAGTCAGTAAGTATAAGTGAGTTGACACTAGTCAGTAGACATTAGTCAGTAGACATAAGTGAGTAGACATAAGTCAATAGACAATAGTCAGTAGACATTAGTCAGTAGACATAAGTCAATAGACAATAGTCAGTAGGCATTAGTCAGTAGGCATAAATCAGTACCCACCACTAATCAGTACGCACTAGACAGTAGGTATAGTAACACAGGTCAGTAAATACTAGATAGTAGACACTAGTCAGTAGGCATTAGTCAGAAGACGTTAGTCCGTAAACACTAGTCAGTAGGCACTGAACATTAAGCCTAACTCAGTAACAGTAGTAAGTGAAAACTAGACAGTAAACACTAGTCAGTAGAAAGTAAATTACTCAGTTAACTACTCACTAAAGCGCTTTAGAGTGGTTTATGTTAGCTAGATAAGGCGCTATATCAAATGTTGTATATTTATTATTATTATTATATGCATGAAAAATTCTCGCAATCACATTGGTCGGATCCTATACACCTAATCAGTCCTCAAAAACTCTTATTATATGCATCAACATTTCTCGCAATCACATTGGTCGGATCCTATACTCGTGATCAGTCCTCAAAAACTCATGTAGACTGATTATCCGGTGAATATCGATTTCTAAATATAGCCTGTATGGAAATTCCTCGGAACCTGTCGTAGCGCATGCGCAGTTAGACTGGAACGCGATCTGTCAGACGACATTAGAAGATGGCTGCTGGCGAACGTTTCTCCTCCGTTACATCAGAAAATTACCAAAACTATTAGAGGATAAAGATGCTGTTAACTTAAAAAAGGCCATTGAACAAGCAGTGCATGTCCTCCATGCTTATCTTAAGAAAAAGAACCTAGACGATACCTTCGA